CTGTGTGTTGTGGGAAGTCCAGAGGGCGATGAACCACAGTGTCTGCCTGTGCTGGTGGGTTGGGTGGAGGAAGGCTGTGACATTCCACTGCTCCCACAGCCAACTCTGCTCCCAGCCCTGTCACCCCATAGGCAGGTGGAAGCCTTGGGTCATGGGACTGTAACTCACCTGGGGTGGCTGTGCTGATGCTGCCCTGGGAGCCCCAGAGCAGCTGGGCTGTCACAGCCTGGCTTCTGGGCACCATCTGCTGCAGAACACCTGGGTGCCAGGACAGAGTCTGGCCCACAGCAAAGGGCACTGGAAGAGAATCAGCTGCCTTTGGGGAGATGTATGTTAGCAGGACACCTGTGTCCTCCCATAGAAGGAGACATCCAGCTGTCACTCATGGAAGTCCACAAACACTCGGACTTCACCTGAAATGAGCTTAAAATCTCTCCCAGGTGCATTCAGCAAAGACAACGAGAGGCTCCTGAACACGGCCGGGAGAGGCTCCCTCAGAGGGGAAGGGGCTTGGGGCGTTCCCTGAGGCACCTGAGTAGATGGTGAGGGTCCCTTCCAGTGAGGGTCCCTTCCAGTGAGATCGGCTGTTAATCAGGTCTCGTTCAATAGCTGCTCCCATGAGCAGAGCTTCACTCATGGCAGAAGACAGCAGAAGATGGAACCCCACAGTGCAGATGAATTCTCCCCAGAGAGCCCGCAGCCTGTCTCCTCTCTAATGTTGAGAGCCAGAAAGTGAGGAGTTGCCCTTTCCCCTTACCCCCAGCCCAAATCCCATGGTATCTCTGCCCTTCCCAAGAGAATGCCCCTCAGCCAGCTGCACTTCTCTCCCTTCTCCTTCGCTATGTCTTTTGTCTCTCTGAAGTATCTGTCCTATTTGTCTCAGCAACAAATAGAAGAAAATGCCCTGAGAGAAAGAAACAAAAGGAAAAATCCTAACCCCCAACACTGTGGGAGTTGATACATGGGACACTGCCCATTTTTGCAGGGTATCACTGTGCAGTCCGTGGCAGCCCCACTGTATCTGTATGTGCTCACACCACAGCAGTGTGTGCCCAGCAGTCCCCAGTTCACAGCATCCTCTGTGCCACCTGCGCAACGGCTCCGAGGAGAAGGAAGAAAGAAATTAATGGGAAAGAACAACATACAATAGCTGTATTTTTGCTTTGCATTAATGCTTGTTTGTCAAGTAAAATTGCCTTCTCCTGGGGCTTAGAGTCCTGAAATATTAGGATATTTAGCAGCCTGCCTTTCACAGTTTTCTTCTGCTTCTTAAAACAACTTGGGGCTATTCTGAAGATTGTTCTGTTCCCCCTGCAGCACCATTGCTTTAATGATGTCTTTACAGCCTCAGTGGATGTCCTTGGTACACCCTGCTAGTAGAAATTTGTTGCAGGACAATGTTTAGACTGAAATTGCTTGTGGGGGACGAGAAGTTCAGTGCAAGGGGGTGCAATTCACAGAGCTCTGTGTGAGCTGTGTTTGCATTCACACAGTCTGCATACAGAGAAAAATGAACCATTAAGAATAATTGTGATTCACTCGGCTATTTTGGTTCTCATTTCATTAAGAAAAAGTCACAGGACCATACATCATCTGTGGGATGTGTATTACAGACCAGCATGAAAATCCCTCCATGTTCTGGTGCAGTTTCACCAGCAGTTTCCTATAACTGCTCATGCTGCAGAACATACATAAGCCGTGAATGAGCCCAGCTCTTCCCTATGAAACCCTGCTCCATGCTGACCTCCTCCTTACAGTGAGGAGGGGACACACCCAGCAAACAGCAGTCCCTGCCCAAGTAGCTCAAGGTTTGCATCCTTCACTGAGGGACACTGCTGCAGGGGAAAAGGCAGATGTGAGGTTTAGGTTTCCATGTAGAAAAGCTTTTGCATGCACAGAGAAGGTGCAGAGCCAGCTTGACTAATGCAGTGCTGGAAGTTGTGTCTGGAACCTTTACAGAGCGGAGAAATTAAATGTTCAGGTCCTTTCAGTGCCCTTCAGGAGCCACTTACTCATTATATGACTGTCACAGAGGTTTGCAATACATCACTCATCACTAACTATCATCAAGCTACTTAACCATGGAAAATTGCTTTAATGTTATCTCAATGCGTTAATGAATGATTCATTAATTAATTCCAATTATTGAACACTGGCCTTGCTTTCCTGCTAGGCTAGAATGACTCCATGCCAAAACCAAGCAGGACTGTGGTGTTTAAGCCAGCTCTGGAATTGTGGTGGTCATGAGAATCCCAGTGCCAGTGGTGGCAGCAGCCACCACTTAACTTGCTCAAATGATGCTGAGCAAAGGAGAAATCAGGAGGCTGCTCCAAGCTGGAAAGATCTTTGTGGTAAGAAGGAGCAGGTCCCTTTACAGATCCAAACCATCACTGCATCTCACCCAGAGAAGACCTTTAGCCTTGAAGCTGTTTTGAACTGATCCTTGGCAATCCCAGAAATAAAAGCAGATTTGCAGGTATATTTGGCCATGCTGCTCATGCATGTGCTGATGCCTTGGCCACAGAGGACAACCTGTTTCTGATGCATGACCATTGTGCTTTTTAATTTTCCAGGGCAAGTCAGTAAAATCTAGGAAGCTTTTACATCCCTTCTTTCTACAAAGAGTACTAGATTATTGATTCTATGCTAAAACCAACAAGAGCAATCCATTTGGATTGTTTATGATGGGGCTACTAATGTAGTAAATCACTTGATTCAGGAATAAATTCATTATAGTGTCAATCGCTTAACTGGCCAGTGAGCCAATGATACCCACCAGGCAATGGTTAGAAACTCCAGGTGTTTTAAGCATAGCAGCCATACAACTGCAAACAGCAGCTGAGGGGTGACTGGTAATGCACAGGGAAAAGCTGGATTGAAAGTTTCCATGTTGAAGACAATGTCCAATGCCTGGAAGCTGAAGCTGTGTGCATTTAGACTTAAGTCTTGTTTTAAAACAAGCAAGTGTCACTAGACACTTGATTTATTTTTGGCCCTGAGAAGGTCAAAACGAGGTAAAATGAAGGGACTGAGATCTCCTGACTGAGCTCAGACTTTTTTCCTTTGGTATACTGGGAGACTCATGATGCAGAGCCTCCCATAAAAGCTTGATCTCACCACATTGGAGGAAGAAAGCTCAGTGCACCCAGCTCTGCCCTGCAGCAGCCTGACTCCCTGGGGAAACTAAATCTCTGGAAATCACTGAAACTTCAAAAAGTAATGGATGATAACGTTAATCCAGGAGGGACTTCAGCACTGGTTTTAATGGAAGCAGAATTAGATCAACCCCAGCTACTACAGAAGAGCTTCCCCAGCAATTGTTACTGTAATGCAAATCTCTGTGGCACTAACCACATTGTTAACCATTGCCATACAAGAATTCATTAAAACAGAAAGGAAGAAGAATCCATCCCCCCACCATACAGAACAGTAAATGAGGAGGTGAGAGTTGAAAGGACACCTTTGGTCTCTCTGAGCACCACAGCAAACCAGCACAGTCTCAACTCTATCCCCTGCCTCAGAAAGGAACTGGCCTCTCTCCTCAGGGCCAGGCTGGTGAAACACAAGGCACCTTATTAAAAAGGGAAGAATAGCTCCTAGCCAGTAACACCTCCCATCCCTTTTTAAATGCCTGGAGGATCAGGTGTGACACTGAAGCAATTCAGATGGGAGGGAAAATAAAGAAACTCACAAATATAAGGTGCTGAGGATCAGCCAATTATACATTCAGGACTCTGTGTTAATTACAGGCTTTTCAAGAGGAGAGTCAAAGGACTTTGCAGACACAGATGGAAATGGATTTTAACAAGCAGTGATGAGTCCCAGTGTTGGAGAGGCATGTCCAGTTTATACAAGGGAGACTCCAGCTGAGGCTATGCTATACCAGCAGCCACCCACCAAGTGCAAGCCAGAGGTCAGTCCAATTGATTTTTTGGGGGAGTATTATGATATTGAGATGAATAATGATGTAGGCACTGGTAAGGGATCTTTCCCTACATAATAGTCATAGCTCTTTATTAGAGCCCAAAAGCACCTGGGTCATCTGGTCACTCAGATGCTTCCCCAGTGGCTCAGGGAGGAAGAAATGATTTTTTTCTTAATGACTATGTGTAATGTGGCAGCTTTATGCACTGTAGGCAGAGACTACAGCTGTTTAAGAAGGTCTGATAATAGCTCACAACTGCAGCAGGTTTTTTTCCTAGGCAGAGGGGAGTTCAGAGCAGAGACTGGAACAAGTAACAATTAATTTTCTTGTTGTTTACATATTGCTATGGCCATCTTTCCTGCTTAAGTCAGGGAAGCTCAGAACATGGATGTGGATTTGTTTACAAGCATCAAAATGGTTCCTTTAATTGTTACACGCACCTTCTGAAAAAGGCCACATGAAAGTCAGTTAAGAATTAAAAAAAAATTCTGAGCAATTAAAAAAAAAAGACTGAGCAAGCTCTTTTAGTTTATCCCCAAATGAGCACTAACTTTGAGGTAATTCTTGGAGTTTATTGCACTAACCAAGAAAACCAGGTCATATAAAATGAAAGAGCCCATATTACCTGTGAAGCAAAAGTGCCTTCTCAGCAGAGACTTGTTCACTCTCATGTCCCAGACCATTATTTCACTTCCCCGAGATGTGCTCTGTGACGAATACTACAGGGACCAGACATCACTTTTGGTGAACTGTACTGCATGGAGCTGTGAGTCAGAAACAAGGACTGCAAGCCTGGAGATGTGAAGAGGTAACATCCCTCTGACCTAAACAGGTGTGCAGCATGGAGAGAAGTGCCCCTAAGAAGCACCAGAGGGAAAAAACTGACCAAAAACCACAGGCACAGAAGATGGAATCCCAGAGCCCAACAACTGCAGCCCACTTGCCAATGCCTCAGCCCAATTTTGCCAGCAGCTTGTTTGTACAGTGACACTTCAGCAAAAAAATTGACGTGATTTTTGACAGAATAAACCACAGAAACTTGAGCAGGAGTTTCCAAACTCCCTTGGAGCTCAAGGTGACTGCTCCAAGTAATAAACCTTGGAAAGGCCAAGTGCCAGCGTGATGCTCAGGACATTGCCCCAAGGCTGAGCATGGCTACAGCATCTCCTGTAGCAGCTGGGGTCACACTGGCTGGGTTTTACCATGCTGTTTTCCTTGGGACTCCATGCAGCACATCCAGCTCCACCAGCCAGCACAACAGGTCTTGAGGGGTTTCATGTGACACTTGGGAAATCAGAGCATCAGCACCCACAGGCATGAGCTGGGGCCTGTCTTGAAGTAAAGTCACTTTGTGAAAATGTAATTTTCAGTATTTCATTAGGACTTCTCCCATCTGTTAAGCATCATCCCAGGGAGTTTGGTGACACTCTAAATGAAGCTGTGAAGATATGCGTTTGTTTTAGATGTAATTGGACAGCTGTTTTATTATGAGTTAATGAACTATGATGATTAAAAAGAATCCAGTTTTAGCAAACCATGTATTAACAATTACTCTGGACTAAAATCACAGCTAAGCAAGTGCTAGACAACTTTAATGACAATGGAAGCAGAAGATGAAAGGGAAAACCAGTGAGGTGCTACAGGACAAGAGATGTCTCCAGGCTCCCTACAGCAGGCATGGATTCTCTGGGCTGCCCCACAGGAACCACTCCACACCACCACCATCTCCTCTGGCCCAAAGCCCCTTTTGGCCCAAATCAGTCATCAGGGTCTGTTCACACTCCTCCATCTTCGCAGACCCTCTTCATGCTCATGTGCTCCCTCTCCCCTGGCCACAGCATCCCAAGAAATGCTGGGATTTCCCATCTCCAAGAAGGGAGAGGGGACAGTGATGGCAGCAGGCTCAAAGATTATTGAGACAGAGAGATAACTGACAGGTTTTTAGTTGCAAAAGATATTTCAGATTGCTTTTCCCCCTGCTCTGGGTCACTTTGGCCAAGGTGGTTTACCCTGGAGGCCTTGCACAGAACGTGTTGCTCCTTGATGTAGGGCCATTTTATTCCTGACTGAGGAGACTTGAGCACAAACAGCACCATAAAAAACTGATCCTGAGCTGGGGAGTCCTACATTTGTCCTTTCCACACTTTGCAGTTTAAAAGATATTTTTGTATATGAGCTGGGCCTGGTGCCAAAACCAGAAGCCACAAAAAGCAGTTAGTTTCCATAGGGGGTTCCCAGTTTGGACAGAGCAGTTTTTAAGCAATTCTCTTTGCTCTGAGAATTTCAGTGAAAAAGCTCTTAAGAGTTAAAGGAAGACAGATCCATATGCCACGTGAGCAAATCACTTATCTTCTGTTCCAAATCATTGTGACTTCCCGGCAGCTGCCTCCTGACCTTTCTCCACTGCAGCCCTCCATTTGGCCTTCTTTTCTGCATTCACCCTCAGCAGAGTCTGATGCTTCTTCGCAGCCTGAAAATGATTTGGTGGAAATCATTGCATGAACACAGTTGCCACCACTAAATTTCCCCACATCTGCACCACTTCCTTTGACACCTCACTGTCCTTTTTGATATTTTGCAGTGATGGAAGTTAATCTGTTTCCTTGTTATACCACATTTTCAGCATTTGCAGCTCTGATTAGCAGGAGAATTACACTGTAAATTGTTTACAGGTGCACTCTGAATTGCAAGTCAAACTGGAGACCCAGCAATGGGGTGGGATAGGGAGAAGATTCACAGCTCTTGGTGACCATGGTGGCAGCCAGGCCAGGCAGGCAGGACCACAGGAGCCTCATGGCTGACAGATGTCAGGCACAATGAGGTTCCATTGACCTGTCTGAGTTATTCCATTACCTTTGGCCCAGCCTCCTGTTGAGACACTGTCATATAGAGCATTGCACTGCGCAGGTTTATGGCAGCGTGGGTCAGGAGCAAAACATTAATCAGCAGGTTGTGCTTTCCAATGCCAGTGTCTCCTCTGGAGAAGGGGTGATACAGACCTTGTGCATACATTGCCCATGTGTATGTATTCTCAAACCTATCTGTCACCCAGGTGCTTATTTCCAAAGAACGTACATAGACCATACATTAAGTGAACCAGTTCCTTCAGAAACAATACTCACTTCTTTGCCTGTGATGATTATGGCCACACAGCCCAGCACAGTCAGTACAATCATGATGTAGCAAACCTTAATCCTGGCAATGTTCCTTGCAGTGTCAAGGACCTCAGACCTGTGGAGGACAGAGCAGACTTTCCATTCTGCAGCAGCATGTGTGAAATGGGATCATGGGAAGATGGGTAATGAATGCTCAAGTCTTGCAGCTACTTCCTGTCAATGTACAATGGCATTCAGCCTTCACTTTCTGCAGCCGATTAAAGGAGAACTGAAAAAATTAGCCTCTGGGGAAAAGATTTAGGTTAAAAGTTATCAGTTTTAATAGGATTAAAAACCCCTGCTCTCCTGTATTATTTTATTGTGTAAGAGAGTGAACACCTGTAAAATGGCGACATGGGAAATTCTTTCCACTATAATAATAAAGGACCAACCTTTGGGTGCTGCAGGGCAGGCCATGGGGTGCTGTGCAGCACCAGGAGACACTGGGGCCGTGCCACAAGAGCCAGGCAATGCCACCCTCAGGGAATTAAAAGCCTATCACAGCACAGCCTCTGCCAGGCAGTTGGCATCAGCCCCACAAGCATCTGCCCATGGTGGAAGGCTGACCGGGTCAGAGCACACAACTGCACCACCCAGGAGTTTTCTTCCCAAGCAGCTGAACAGCCCCATCCATCACTGGAAAATCTCCACCACCTTCCATGAGTAACTCCTGGCATATACCAACGATTCACATTTACAAGAAACTGCAGCATGGCAATGAGCCATCCCTGAAATTATATCCAGCCATGGATTTACTCACACCTGCAAAGGGAAGGACAGCTGAAGGAGAACCAGGATGTCACAAGTCAGAAGCATTAGGACTCCAAAACTGAGTGACAATCCTTTAAGAAAATATCTCAACAAGGAGGTGAAACCACAGCCCATACAGGAGGAACTCATTGCACAAGTCTGTCACCAAATTTGTATGTAGCCCCAGCTTCTAATTAAAATTTATGCAGCATTATTAACCACTAATCAATAAAACCTAGAAAAGCCTGTAAAAACCCAGATTGAATGATATCTTATCATGGTGGCTTCTGACTTTCAAAGCCACTTGTCTTGCAAAAGATGCTTCAGCTTAGTTTGAAATTTGTGATAACTAAAATAAGCAAATCCAGTTTACCTCATAAGGAATGACAAAAAGTTACAAGAGTTAAAATTATCTACAGATAATTTTGGACACCAGCATGGGGGAGGCACTAACCCCCACAAGAGCACAGTTCTGGGTAATGCAGACTGGGGTCTCAGTCTGTGTGCTCAGAGCCAAAAGAATCATTCTGACAGGTCCACTTACGATATGTGCCTGGGAATGTCCTCCTCCTTTTTAAAGCATCCTGACCATACTAGCACCTTTTTATCAAAACTTGTAGGCCTTCTCTCATTCCTGAAAGTTTCTTTACCTGTAAGAGATTTTGTAAAAAGCAATGAGCTAAGCTTCAAAAAGGGAAAAGAGCTGTTGGTACAGAGGGAAAAGAATTGAAAGTTTAAAATTACACTTTTCTATTCTGTGGAAGCTAAATGTGCTTTCTAATGTCAAAAAGACTCAGCAGCTGGTGTGAAGTGCTTTGTTACATTTGCAGCTTATTTAATTTGACTTTCTTCCCTTTAATTTTGGTAGTTTTAAACCAAAATTCTCTTCTAAACTTCCTGATTAAGAGGGCAAATGGTGTGGGGTTGAAGTCCCCAAGCCCACAGCAACATCTCACCCTGTGAGCATTGTGCTTTTAAATGGCCCAACTAGTGAGTTAAGCAAACTGCCAGCAGCACAAGTAGCTAACTCCTCAACAGCTTCTCCTGAAATCACTGATGGAGAGATGATGTCTGCTAAAATGCAGCCTGGTGGGAGACTGGCAGTTGTTCTCATGCAAGCTGGGTACCACGTTACTGCACTCTAATGATGATACATTACACCCCATCAGGCTACCACGGTGATGCCATTTGCATGCTGTCACCCACAGCACAATCAGAAAAGTACTCTGGCTCCTCTTGATGGAAACAAGCCCAATAACAGGCAACAACAAGGATAATGGCAGAGAGACCCTGAAAAACACAGGAAAGTAGTGGTGCAGGCTAAGAGAAACTGTGTCCATAGCAGGAAGCCTGTTCATCTCCAGGCCACTGTCTGGCACAAGCTGTGGCTGTAACCTGGCAAGGAGCAGAGCAGGAAGCAGAGGGGAGTAAGTCCTCCACTTGCACCAGCCCTGCACGTGCAGGGACATGCACTGATCCTCCTCTGGAGACCTGGCAGCTGAGTAAGAGGGGGAACATTTATTTGTTTTAATTGACATATTCCCTGACATGAAGTATCAGTTGATATTTGCTGCCACAGGAGAACAGCTATAGAATAGAAAAAGCTTTACCTCTGTGCACTGTGCTGGTCAGAGCTCTGGGTGTGCTCCCTGCCCCAGGAGACAAAGCACTGCAGTAACTTAGCCATGGCTGAGAATGAGGATAATTTTCTCACCCTTTCCTGCAAATACCCTTTTGCTCCTTGCTGCAGCACAAAACAGTGACCAAGGCTTTCTACTCACCTGGATCAGCCATCTGCAAAGCCATGTCCTGGGCGTTCTTTGCTCTGCTGCCAGCACTTCTGGTGGGGCACAGGACCAGTTGAGCCACCCGCTGCCACAGCCCAGCGCTGTGCCCCAGCAGCCTCCCCAGCATCCTGCCCCGGACCACCACGGCCCCACCAGCCTGGGCAGGAGCCCAGGAGGCTGCTTCTAGGACTTATTAAAGTAAAAATAGCCCTTAAATTTATCACCTGTGTTTACCAAAATTACACACCCTGGGAGCTGGGCGGGCACAAATCACCACGCCCAGCCCCGACTCTGCCCCAGGCTCCCCATCCCAAGAAGCTGCTCAGGAGAACAGTGGCTATGAACATTTTTTTCTCAGTCCTTGCTATGGAAGAACTAAAATAAGACAGTGTTCTGTATTTCCCCAAAGACAGGCTTAGTGACTGCTAATTATCACAGCTGGTTAAGCTGTTAGAGTTCTCAGCTACAAAATGATCTTGCAGATCAGTTGCTTTAAACAGATTTTCTGAAAAGGAGCAGTATTTACTGCATTTCAGAATAAATGTGGTTTGGTGGCAGGAAAATAAAGTTGATGTCTCTATCTATAAATGCAGTCTAGGGAGTCCATCTCATGTGCAGACTGTAAACTTTCCTAGCAAAGAAATATACTTTAGATATGCTTCAGGTTTAAAACAGTAAACTAAGAAATTATAACAAAAACCTCAGCTAATGTAGATTTGTCAGTCAGTAAAATTGTCATTGAAATGTAGTGATTCCTATAACGTATTTGCCCTCCACAAAGTCTGGATAGTGCTGAAGGTTTTCCATAACAACCACTGATCTAACCAGAGAAAGAACCACAACCAGTGCTATTTGATCACTTTGACATTTCTCCTGTATTTTGCACAAAATTCTTCCAGATGGGTCAGGAAATGGAAATGCAAAATACTTGTTTCATTTGGAGCTGTGAGGTATTTACTCTCTTTAGACATACAAGGCCCTAAAGCTGATTTACAGGTAGGGAAAAAAAATTCCATTCAAAAGTGAAGAAGCAGTTGCCAAAAGGAAAATTTTCAGAACTATTTAGCAATACTATCAGATGCAATATTGCAGATAATCAAAATGTGTCTAAGAGCAACAGGGGGGACTGAGGGAAGAGTATGCAGATATGGGCAGGGATATTCTTAAGGGGCTAAAAGGATGAAAGATGGGAAACAGATGCAGTTCTGGCTCCTCAACTTCTGCCCCAAGAAAAAACACCATCACTTATGGAGACGTTTTATATTTTTGGGAACATGGAGTTAATGATACTGAGGAAAGAAGAAAATCACAGCAGTGACAAATGTGGTTTTTCCTCTTTCATGAAAGCACCACAATGTATCCAGACATAGCACAATATGTTCATCTTAATTCTCTTGTAATTTGGTAAAGCAAATTAAATCAATTTCCAGATTAGGAACTCATACAGAAAATAAACAGTGTTTTGAGCTTCCACCTGCAAACAAGACCTGCAAACAAGAAGAAATCAGTGGAAGTGATTATGTTTAAAAAAAGCAGAAGGAAAAGCTGGTAAAGTCAGAGAGAATATTTGTGTCCTGCTCAGGATTTCCCTGTGGTAAAATGAGTATGAGGAAAGACACATTTATAGCCTGAAGTTTATGGCCAGCATGCCTGAGCATTCCCATGAGCTCACTTCTCATCTTGTGGAAGAGCTGCTGAGTGAAAAAAGGCATTGTACATCTGGACATCCCCCAGTCCCCAGAAGGGCAGGAGGGGCTGTGGGCAGTGGATGGGATGTGCTGCCTTGGTGCTTGTGTCACACTTGGACCTGCCTGACCCCACAGGGGCTCCAGCTGTGCAAAACATTAAAGTGTCTTCACTCTAACAGGCACTCTCCAAAATACTCACTGCAGAAGTGACTGATCTTTATGTCATGTCTGATTATGGATTTGAAGAGATAAAAAAGAACATTTTTATATTATGTCTTAATTTCTCAAAAGGTGAGAAAACTGTGGGGGTTGCAGGCCTCTGTTGCTTATCCACCTAGGGGTTGCCAATTGTTTCCTCTAGCAGACACGCCAGCTAACAGCTGTATTAATCATGTCTGCTGTGAGCAAAAAGGCACTTCAGGATTTATTATGCCAGCATTTGGAAGTGCAAAGACACAGAGGTCCTCAGAAAACCACAAAGGCAGTTACTTATTCCTCAGTTTTACTTGTTTGTCTGGAACCATGAATGCTTAATGACAGGCTGAGTTTTAATGCAGTGTGTGAAAGCTATAGACACCTCTGTGTTAGGAATTCCAGGAATTTCTCTTCAACACTGTGGATCTCCCTCTGGCCCAGAGCAACTTAGATCCCTTTCTGAACAGATGGAGAATGTTCTTGGACCAAGGCAGACTTGTGAGCAGCCTGATGAACTCCAATCTCCTTAGAGATGTGTTCTGCCTATCTCAGTGAGTGCACACCCCCCTTGCCCAGGTTACAGCAGGAGGCTCATCCAGTCACTCCCCACACTGAGCCATCACTTGATACTCATCAGTGACTCATCAGTGCACCAAAGTGCAGCCAGTATTTCATAACCATTAAGTTCACGTGTAAGGAGTTGATTGAATAGGAGTAACAACTTGTTCGGAGATACAGAACTAGCAAAACTGGGTCTAAAGCACCATCTCCTCTGCCTTCAGCATCCTTCTGCCAGGAGGGGAGCAGGACCCAACTCCTGGGCAAGCCCTGGACAATACAGAAAGCACTGACTAGCTCTACAGGCATTGCCCAGGCTTCTTCTGACCTCACTGGAAGGGGAGGGCGCAGATCTGAAGGGTTTTGATTCACAAAGGACCAGACTAGCTCAGACAGAGCAGAGGAGGGTCTGCAGCTGTGCTGGTGCAGACTCATGATATTTCTGGTTTCTGTGTGAGAGTGATATGTAGCTGCAACACTTGCTGCACACCACTGCCAACACTGAAAATTTAAACTAAACAGAAAACCTCACAGGACTCCCTCCTGTTTCTGCATCCTCTTCACACCCCTTCTGCCACTTCAAACTCTGCTACTTCAGCGGCCTCCACAGCAAGGACTAGCAGCCAGTCCCTAAACATACTCAAAAACCTTCGCTGAACTGGAACTGAGAGATCACAATATAAACCCAGGTGGTGTTTGTGAAACTCCATTGCTCTGGTTTATGGCTGACTTCATACTGTTATTTCCAGTGCCTTAAGTCTGATTTTTGTTACAATTATTGCAGCAATGAGAAACTTGTATTCAGGTTCTCTTCACTTGTCTTTCTTCTGCTGCTTTCAACAGCCATAGGAATGAAAGTGTTTATTCCTCCAAGAGCCCCAGGTTCCCACATATCTCTTTATACCTCCTTTTTCATTTTCATAATAATGCATAACTAATCTTTTTACTCATACACAGAAAAGAATTCATATAAGTATATATTTTAAAAAAGTATTACTCTGCAAAGCTGTTTTCAGTGTCCTCAAAAACAAGTGGCTTACCATCAGACTCTGGTTTGCATGCCATGGAAGCTTCTTACATGAGAGCTGTGATAGGGAACAGAAGATAATCTTATCTTAAAATTCTTTGCCTTCCTTCATCTAATTAAATATGCAGCAGAGCTCTGTCTTGGTTCCTAGACAAGATAAACAGCAATCCTAGATGGGCTTGTGTCTTATGAAATTCTAGTGAGTCAGGAAATATTTTTCCATGCATCTGGATATTCTCCAGCAGCACAATTTAACACAGCAAGAAAAACGGATTGCTTTGAAATGTCTCATCCACCTGCAGACTCCCAGCCCAAGAGCTGTCCCTCCTCTCCAGGTCCCCGGGGAGCAGCACTCTCAGGGCTTCAGTTCTCTCCAGATGAGTCACCTCCTCCCCATATCTGGGATTAGTCTACCCTAAGGAAACTCAAATGCAAATCCCAAGAACTAAAAGCTCCTTAACTGTTCCTCACCATGGCCAGGTCAATCAAAGGAATAGTTACAGCATCTCACAACAAAACCAAACTTGAGGATTTGTAAAGTGTTCTTTACACAAGCATCAGCATGAGGCCTTCATCAACTCAGAACACTTGGATTCATATTTTTTATTATCTTAAGTGTTGTCAATGAAACAAAACAATGAAGGAGTCCTTACCCTTCTTGTGTGTTAAACTTCAACTTTGCTTAAAAAAATTTCCTCTATCCAGTTACTGAGACATCCTGCATTTTCTGCCAATACTGTCCCTATTCCTCCAAATTTTATAGCACCACTACCATTTGAAAAATCTTGCCTAGAAGCCATAAATAAGATATTAAACCATAGTATTTAAATAAACAAACAAACAAAACCAAGCCCAAGCTCCACTGTCACTGGTAAATCTTGACTAATTCACACCATACGAGCCTTTTAACATCAGTTTCTTTAGAAGAAAAGGTAAGACAAGAGGACCCATAAGCCACACTTGCTGTGTTTCCTTCCATCAGTTCTGTGTTTTTAGAGAAGATACAATAGAATATTTGTTAGACACAGGAACGCAGTTAAGAATTGTCTTAATAGGAACCAAATCCAGTGGAGCTAATGGGTTACAGCTGGAGTCACTAATCTCTGCAAGCAAACGCTGTAAAGGAACCTGAAATGGGTCTGCAGTGTCCTGGGTACAAGGTGCAGGGTTTATAACAGCTCATGTCAGAAGGACAAAGCTCATGGCAGCAAAACAAAAGTTAGTAATTGCTCTGGCAAAGCCCCAGTTTGACTTTTCCCAGAGTCTGGTCCAGCACAGGGCAACTTGACGTGTGCAGCATTTGCCTATGCATGGGCTGAAAGATGGGGTAGCCCCAAGTGCAGCTTCATCATGAGGGAGCAGCCAAATGAGAGCAGCAAAGATCACAGGACCCATGGAAAATCATCCAAAATATTTGGGGTGTTGTGATGCAGTCACAGCTTTTCTTACTAGGGGAAAATAATACACTAATGAGTTTGCACCAGGTCACTGATTTCTGGAATGGTGCACAGTTGGACTGTAGAGTAAAAATGTGTGAAACCCCAAAGGAAAAAAAACATCAGAATCTTAACAGTTTACATTTTGACTCAGAGTTTGGAGAACCATTTAATTCAAAAGTTTTCCACACCTGTTTCCCCAGCTGAGCCAGAAAAACACATTGACAAGGACAGACTCTCTGTTCCCTTG